AGCTGGGGAGCCCACTGGGGACCTACGGGCGCGCCTGGGAGCAGCTCGGTGGTGAACTGACCATGGGCGACCCAACAGGGGTGGACTGGATCATGTGCACGCTGTCCCTGGACCCGAAGGGCTTCGAAGTCGAGAAGTTGGCGTCCTCCATCACTCGGGCGAGGCCGCAGGTCGTCGTAGTCGATGCCCCTGGCAAGCTCGACCTGACCCGCATTGTCAAAGTGCTGCGCAAGCTGGGGTACCGCACGTACGACCTGGAGGTCGTCTGCACCCACTACGGCGACATGAAAGCTCGAGCTCGGAGCCTGATCGTGGCAGGTCGAGGGCCAGCAGGCGCCAGCCTGGCGGGCATGCGTATGCCGCCGGCGCGCCGCTGTCCCCATGGGGTGAAGCACGCGTTGAAGGATAAGCTCAGCGAAGGCAGTCACCACTGGCTCGACGACGAGGGGAGCGTCACCTGGGACCCAGCGGCCCGTGGGGGCTCCGACCCTACACTGCCCAAGGGCATCGGCCACATCAAGCTCGCCGGCACGAGGCACCTGGTCTGCTCAGTCGACGGCCCGATCGGCACAGTTCGCTGGCCCGCCGAGGGCCCGGGCGGACCGGGGGGAACGCTGATCCACGTCCCAGGACGCAGTGGCGGGCGCATCAGGGCGCTGTCGCCAGAGGAAGTTTGGATCGTGCAAGGAGGCGATGAAGCAACTTGGGTGCAGAGGCGAGCCCGAGGCGACACCGAGACCACCTTGATGCGAGAAGCAGCGAGGTCCCTGCCACCTGAGACGGCGAGAGCCGTACTAGGCGCTGCCGTGGACGCGCTGTCGCAGACCACCCAGCGGGCGGGCGGCTGTCACGACCTCGCGGAGTCGGCCGCCTGGGAGACAACCCGGCGGTGGCTCAGGGCCTGGGCACGGAGCGAGCTCCGGGTGAAGGCCGACAGACCCGAGAACGACCAACACGCTGGGGTACTGAGCGATGACGTCCATGCGGCGAGGCGCAAGAGTCAGGGCGTCCGCTTCAAGGCCATCGAGGAGGATCTCGTGCGGGGCCCCGAGCCCCCCCCCGACGCCGAGGAGGTGGACCTGAACGCAGTCGTCAACACTCCCAAGAAGCGACGGAAGAGGAGCCCCAACCGGGGCAAGAAGGTGGAGACCCAGGGTTTGGTCAAGCCGGTCGCCCTGGGCCGCGCTCGTGCCACCATCGCCCTGCCGGACCACCCGATGCTGGGAGGGGAGGACTACGGCAGGTGGATCGAGGAGCAGAAGCGCGAGGCGCTGATGCTGCGGCTGTCCGAGGGAACCCGCGCTGGCTACGAGACCGGCTGGAAGCAGTGGCAGAGTTTCAGAGCAGCCCAAGGAGAGTCGCCCTGGCTGGAGGGACGTGACCGCGAGGAGCGACACGCCAACGAGGAGGCACCGTTGGGTTTCGTCGTCGTGTTGGCCAAGGTGCTGAAGCGCACGGAGGGTGCGGTCAAGCAGAAGTTGTTCGCAGTGCGCTTCGCCCACCTCGTGGCCGGGTACCCGGACACTCTACTCCACCGGGGCCGCCTCTGGTCCACGCTCGCCGGCCTCCGGAGAGGCCAGGGGCCGAGCGGGAGGAAGCGGCCAGTGACGCCCCGCATGCTCCTGTGGCTCCAGGGCTTCTTGAAGGACCAGACGGACCTCCCCGAGATGGACGCCGCAGTCTTGTGGGCCGCCGTGGCGGTGGCCTTCTTCTTCATGTTGAGGGCGTCCGAGTACTTGATCCAGCCCGGGAAGACATGGGGCCGAGAGCGCGTCGTGCGCGGAGTGGACGTCACGGGCCGCGATGGCAACAACCAGCCTTGCACCTTCAAGGACGCGGTGGAGGTGGTGCTCCACATCACCTCCTCGAAGACAGACCAGTACAATGTGGGGTGCGGAAGGAATCAGTACGAGACGGGCACGTCACTGTGCCCCGTGGCAGCCCTCCGCCAGCTGGATCGGCACTACCCGCAGAGGCTGCGAGGGAGCGAGGAGGAGCTCCCGCTCTTCCGCTGGGCGAGCGGAGCACCTATTCGTCGCGAGGAGGTGCAGCACTATCTGACGATCGCAGGGCTTGCCGCCGGGCTGAGGAAGGAGGAGATCGGCTCGCACAGCCTCCGCATCGGGGGCGCGACAGCGATGTACCACGCCGTGGACGACCTGCAGCGCTTCAAGCGCTTCGGGCGCTGGGCCTCCGATAGCTTCCACGGGTGCCTGTGGGAGAGCCACGAGCCCATGCGCGGCATCTCGACCAACATGGCGACGGATGTGTCTGAGCTCACGGCGCCGCCGGCCCATGCGGCCGAGGGCGCGCGCCGTGCAGGCAGGAGCCCGACCCCGCTGTGGCCCAGAGCAGCGCTGGCCGTGACGACGCTCGCCGCCACAGCTGGCAGTGCAGACGGCTACGTGCTCAAGGTCAACCCGGTGGAGAGCCAGAACCTGCTGATCCTCGTGCTCCCGGTCGGCTTGGGAGCTTGGGCGATGGCAGCGGGGGCGCTGCTGGCAGCCGTGCTGCTGAGCGCTGCGTGGCGGCGCGAGCAGCAGCGAGGGCGCGGAGGAGCGGCCGGCAGGCGCAGCAGCAGCTGCAGAGCCCGCATCCCCTGCGCAGGCATGCTGTGTGCAGCGCTGGTGGTGACGGCGCTCACGACGGCAGCCGGAGAGATACAGAGCCAAGAAGTGGCAACAGTTGACGGCAAGGCCCAAGGGGCCATGCTTCGCTGGGAGCCGCAGATGGGCACGGTGGCGATCGTTGTCCCGGTGGGGACGGCGATGAAGGTGGTGGCCACGATCACAGTGCTGCTTGCGGCGGGCATCGGGGTGATTGGCGGCTGTTGCTGCGGGACGGCCAAGAAGAACGAGGGTAGGCCGGAGCCAGCCGTGCAGCAGGCCACCACGCAGCAGACGCCTAAGGCGCACAAGCCTCCCAAGCAGCCGCAGAGGACGTATTGCGACGCAGGGGTGATGGGCCCGGTGCACTACAACGGTGTGAGGTACGTGCACGAGACCCAGGGCTTCCGCCGGGCCAACGAGGTGACGCGGGAGATGGCCCCGTCAGGGCACCGCAGGTCGCCAGAATGGCCCCGTGGAGGGGAACAGAGGCCGCACCGTGACTAAGGTGCGGGCTGCCGCCGGCCAGCGGCCGAGCGGGCAGCAGTGGACCGCCGCCGGCAACCGCCGTGCGAGCGGCCACGCGGCGCCGGCTGAGTTCAGCCTGGCGCTCGCGATCAGCTTCGCACTTGCGAACGAGCTGGGCGCGTGCCGCGGCCGCTGCTGCCCGTGGGCAGGCGCCGCGCCGGCCTGGCACCCGGCAGTGCCGCCAAGGGGGCGGCAGTGGCGGCTTCGAAGGAGCGCCGGCGGCTAGCCCAACCAGGGCTGCCGCGCGGGGCGCAAGGGAACCACCGCCGCCGGCATCCGCCGTGCGAGCGGCAGCGCGGCGCCGGCTGAGCTCAGCCTGGCGCCCGCGCTCAGCTTTGCGCTTGCGAGCAGCTGGGCGCGGCGCGGCGGCAGCTGGCGCCTGAGGACAAGAGCGCCGCGCCGGCCCGGCAACCGGCAGTGCCGTCATGGGGGACGGCGGTGGCGGCTACGTGGGGCGCCGGCGGCCAGCCCAGCCAGGGCTGCCGCCTAGGGCGCACGAAGAACCACCGCGGGCGCCGGCGGCATGCCGCCCTGCGCCTGCGGACCCACCTTGCTGGGCAGACGTGGCGGCCTGCCGCGGATGCCAGAACTGTTCTACGCCGACAAGGTCGGCGACTACGCGTCCCACTACAGCCAGTTCGGCGTGGTGGTGCGCTCGCAGGGGGAGGGGGGCGGCGTGGCCCGCTGCGCGTGGCCGAAGACGGCGCCGGCGCGTGGAGCGCCAGGCGCCAGCACAGAGGAGCAGCACGGCCCCTTTGGCAAAAGGTCGTCGTCATCATCTGAGGCCGTGTCCGCCCCTCTTCCTCCCCTCTTGAGCCCCCGCCTACTAGGTTCAAGAGGTTTTAGTTTACCAGTGCTGCTTGAGGGGATATCTAGGATGTTTGGTAAAACTGATGGATCTCCCCGCTTCCAGAACTGGCGCGGGCTTCCACTTGCTGTTCCCTTGCTCCTGCCCTTGCCTCTTTGCTTGCCCTTTCTCTCTCCCTCTCTCTTCACCGCCGCTTCGCGGCTCAAGCCTTTTCAAGGCCAAGCTGGCCCACCCTGGGAGCCCCGCAGGGCTCCCTACCCGCCCCTTTTTCTGGACTTTTACAGCGCCGCCGAGGCGCTAGAGTGCCTCGGCGGCGGCGTGGCCCGCTGCGCGTGGCCGAAGACGGCGCCGGCGCGTGGAGCGCCGGGCGCCAGCACAGAGGAGCAGCACGGCCCCTTTGGCAAAAGGTCGTCGTCATCATCTGAGGCCGTGTCCGCCCCTCTTCCTCCCCTCTTGAGCCCCCGCCTACTAGGCTCAAGAGGTTTTAGTTTACCAGTGCTGCTTGAGGGGACATCCCGATAGACCGTGCGACACGCCCTGTTCGGACGGTCGGTTTGGGGCGCCAAGCGGGCAGAAATTGCGTTTGTATGGCCGCAACCTGAGGGCGCCCTGATTGCATGCGGCGGAGAAGTATCACAGCGTCGCCGAACGTGCAAGCGCAACACGGCGCGATTCCAGACGGCGCGGTGCCCGAGACGCGCAGGTCGTTCGGACGTCCACGCGAACCAGCAAAGAAGGTAAGTCACGCTGCCCAGCTTTCTTGCCCGCCCCACTTCAGGGGCTTCTGCAGTCGCTGCCCCCTGTTCGCTTCTCCCCTTTCGACGACGATAGGGGCGGAGCCGGGGACAGTCGGAAACACGGCTGAATGAAGGAGATTGGCTGCAAAACGGGCGTCGATGGCCGTGCCAGGAACAGTCGGAAGCACGGCCGAATGAAGGAAATCGGCCTCCGTCGCCAGCCGTCGCCGCCGTCGTCGCCGCCGTCCTCGCGGGAGGCGGCTCCCCCTTGTTCTCCTCCTCCTCCTCCTCCTGCCGTCAGCCAGGGAGGGCAGCGGCGGCCTCTGCTACTCGGCGTTGCAGCGACTGCCAGCGGCGGGCGTCCGCGTCGCAGCAGCGCGCCACCGCCGCCCGGCTCCAGCGGCCATCCCAGGTCCTCAGTCACGGGGGGGCTCTGTGCAAACAAGCGGCCCACGCGGCGTTCGCAACGCACGGCGGCCGACTGGGAGCCCGCGGCACAGTTGGGCGGCCCCTTGCGACCTCGCTGTGCAAACGAGCTTCCCACGCAGAGCTCGTGACCCAGGACTGCCTTCAAAGAGCCCGCGGCGCATTTGGGCGGCCCATTGGGAGACCACTGCGCAGACCCACAGGGTGCTTGCAATGCGCTTGGGCTTGCGCGTGAGGGCAGACCACTGGGAGCCCGTTGCGGATTCAGGCGGTCAATTGGGAACTGGGCAACCGAGCGACCCCACTCCTGTCTGTGTGGGACTCTCGATGGAACCACCTAATGGGCACATGAGGGGGCGTCCGTCCTTGATAGGGATGCGTCCAGATACCCCTCTGGGGTGCATCCCCGAGATTTCCTTGTTTCCTGAGCAGCCTACTTTTCCGGAGGGAATTGGGGGCTTTGGGGCGCGAAATCGCCTGCCACGAGGATCCTCATTCCTTTACGTTTCGGGCCTCTGGAGCTCTCCTCACGCCTCCAAGGCCGTCGCACAACGACTCTGGATGAACAGCTGGCCCTGGGGAGCGCCCTAGGGTCTGGGACCACCTTCCCTCAGGATCAGTCAGCATCGAATCTGGAGATCGGATCGGATCGGAACGTGCGTCGTGGCATGGAAACGAAATTGAATCGGATCGGCCCGCTGGAACATCGAAATCGAACCCGATCTAGCCAAGCGAACACGACATCGGATCGATCGAATCGGAATGGGTTCTGTTTCTCTCAGGACTGGCTCTGGCGATCGGTGGCCGCTGGCCAACTTCCCCCCCTCGCTGACAGTAGGCATACGAAGCCGGGGCCACGCCACTGCGAGAGTGCGAATCGGGGCGCGCACGGTGCTCTCGATTGGTCCTTCTGGTGGCGGCTGCATTGCAAGTGCACAAATGAGTCGAACGACGTGGGGAGTCGTCGGGCCCCGCTGTTGGCGAGCGCGTGCGCACAACTGTGTCGTGCGCATACGTGTGTATACACGGGGCGGCTACTTACAACGTGAGGTACATACGCACGGCAGCTTCGTGCCGTGCCGACTTGTTCGTTGGTTTCTGACACCGTGGGGAATGCTCGAACCTGAGTGATCGCGGCTTTCCGATAACGCCGATCGTTCGACATGGGCCGCCGTCGGCGTCGAGCTTGGAACGCCCGCGATGAGGTCGCCGACGCGTCGACACGACGCGGGCGCTGTCCCTCAAAATCTTGAAGGCACGCCTGCCCATTGCGGGTGGCGCAGCGGCCGCCACCACCAGGAGGAGGGCTTCCCAACTTCCCGAACGATGGGGATGTAAGGCTCCAAAGCGCTCGGTCGACCTCACCATATTGGGCGGGATGGCGCACGCACAGCTTAGCAGTGCTACGGGTGATGATGATGATGATGATGATGATGATGGCGGTGGTGATGAAGGTGATGATGATGGGTCTGATGGTGGTGACGTCGATTATGATGATAATGGTGCCGCTGGTGATTAGGACGACGATGGTGGTGCGGATGACGACGATGACGATGATGCTGCTTATGGTGATGATGATGCTGTTGGCGAAGACGACGATGATGATGATTATGATGGTTGTAATGCTGATGATAATGCTGATGACGATGGTGACGACGATGCTGAGTATGGTGATGATGAGGCTACTAATACTGATGCTGCTGATGGTGATGCTGATGCTGCTGGTGATGCTGATGATGGTGCTGATGGCGATGAGGACGACGACGATGACGATGCCAATGAAGGTGGTGATGATGCTGATAATGGAGATGATTATGCTGATGACGATGATGACGACGATGATGATGCTGCTTATGATGATTATGATGATGATGATGGCGATGAAGGTGATGACGATGATGCTGGTGATGATGATGCTGATGACGATGACGATGATGCCTTTTGCCTTTTGCCCGGTGGTCCCCAGGTCTCGCCAGCGCCGAACGGCGCCACATCACGCCCGTCAGGACTCGTAGCCTGCTTTCTCGAGCTTCCAGCAGAGGTCGTAAACCTCCCGCTCCAGCTCGCGCACCAGGCTGGTGATGTATCCCCATGTCCTCAGTTTCGTGCCTGCAGGCCTCGACTCTGGAAGTCAAGGGCTTGACCATCTCCTGCTGAAGCATCGGGACGAAGCCTGACAGAAGGCTCTCCGCAACGTCCACGCGGGACTTGATCTTCGAGGTTTTTTCGGTCACAACCTTCGGCGCCTCGACGATCTTCTCGACGTACTCTACCTGCGGCACTTCTACGATCTTCTCGATCTCATGGGTCACGACCTTCGGCGCGTCGACGATCTTCTCAACGTACTGCGGCACCTCCGCGATCTTCTCGACCTCCTGCGGCACCTTTGCGATCTTCTCGACCTCTTCCATCGCAGCCTTCGGCGCTCCGACGATCTTCTCAACGTGCGCGACCTGCGGCGCCTCTGCGATATTCTCGGCCTCTTCGGTCGCGCCCTTCGGCGCCTCGACGATCTTCTCGACGTGCTCGCCCTGCGGCGCCGTCGCGATCTTCTCGACCTCGTGGGTCATCGCCCTCGGCGCGCGGGCGATCTTCTCGACGCGCTCTACCTGCGGCGCCCCCGCGATCTCCTCGGCCTCCTCGGTCGCGCCCGTCGGCGCCTCGACGATCTTCTCGACGTGCCCGCCCAGCGGCACCGTCGCGATCTTCTCGACCTCATGGGTCGTCGCCCTCGGCACGCGGGCGATCTTCTCGACGTGCTCTACCTGCGGCGCCCCCGCGATCTTCTCGATCTCTCCGGTCGCAACCTTCGGCGCCTCGACGATCTTCTCGACGTGCTCGTCCTGCGGCGCCTCGCCCTCGCCCTCGCCCTCCGCCGAGTCGCCGTCGAACGGCGGGCGGGGGGGGGGGCCCGTAGCAGCAGGGGCCTGGGAAATGAATGCCTTGGTAGACGAGGGGGGATAGACAAAGCGAGGCCCGCAGGGGCGGGGGGGGGGGGGCGAGTGGGTGGGGTGGGGTGGGGGGGGGGGGCAAGAGGGGCCAGGGGGGGGGGGGGGGGGCAGAGAGGAGGGGAAGCGCAGGGGAGGGGCAAGAGGGAGGAGGGGGGGGCGGACGAAGGAGGAGCCGAAGGGGCGAGTGCGCCCGCGAACTCCCGCACCCGCAAGGGCCAGACGCCCGCGAGCGTCTCCGCCGCCGCGGCAACCTCGAACGCCCGCCGGGGGGGCGGCAGGGGGGGCCAGGGGGGAAGGACGGGCGAAGGAGGAACCGAAGGGGCGAATGCACCCGCGAGCTCCCGCGCCCGCCGGGGCCAGACACCCGCGAGCGTCCTCGTCGCCACGGCAACCTCGAACGCCCGCCGGGGACAAGGGCCGGGGGGGGAGAGGGGGGGGGGGCAGGCGAAGGGGGGGGAAGGGCGGGGGGGGGGCGAAACTAAGCATCAGCCTATATAACCAATCCCACCGCGTTCCGCTGCGGCGCCGCCGGGGGTGTGGTGAAGCCCCCTATTAATGCGACGCCGGTGAGGTGGGCGCTCAGGCCTCCACCGCCCCCGCCCCCGAGGGGGGGTTCGCTGCTGGCGGCCGCTGCTCCGTGAGCAGCTGGGGCGGCCTTGGCGTTGACCGCGGCCGCCGCGTCAGCGGCGGCTTTGGCCCGCGCCGCTGCGGGCGGGGCTGCCGCCGGCGCCGGGGCCGCAGCGGGCGCAGGGGCGCTGGCGGCGGGCTCTGCCGCGGGTGCGGCGGGCGCTTCGCCCTGGGCCTTGCCCTTCCCCTTTCCCTTGGCACCCTTCTTTCCTTTGCCCTTGCCGTCGTTTTTGCCGCCGCGCCCCATGCCGCTCTTCCCGCCCCTGCCCTTGGGGCCGCCTCCGCTGGCCTCCTGGCGCGCGCTTGCGCTCCCGCTCCTCCGGCGTCGCCTCGGCGTGCGCCAGCCGACGCTTCGGGGCAGGGGCGCCCTCCGCCCTCGGCGGCGCAGGCCTCCCGCGAACGGGAAGGCCCGCTGCCGCGCGAAGCGGCCCGTCCAAAAAGGCCAGCGCCGCCTGCGCCGACAGGGGCTCCTCTCCGAACCGGAGGGTCAACCGAAAGATGCCCTCGACTCGGCTCCTGCCGCCGGCCGTGTTCCTCGACTGGTCGAAGACGCGCGCCAGCGCGTCCGCGCCGGCCAGGCCGCTGACTATCTTAGAGATAGCCAGCCCCGTGTCGCCCAGCGCCTGGAACTCCTGGGAGTCCTCCTGCGGCAGCGGCCGCGGCACCTGGAGGGCCTCGCGGAGGTCCTCGCCCACCGCCTTCGGCACTGCCAGGCGGAGTCCCCTCCGCAATTGGCTCGGTGCGTGTTCTGCCCGCGCGCTCTCCACCTTGTCGAACCCCTCAAGGACGACGTGGCAGCTCTTGCGGACCTCGCCCAGGTCCCTCTTTGCGCGCTGCAGCCCGCCCTCCACCGACGTCGCTCTCGCCTCGAGCGCCGCGAACCTCTCGTCCACAGCGGCCCTGCGTGCCGCCATTGCTCCCGGGCAGCGGGAACGGAGGCGGGCCGATGCAAGAGCCTTCCTGGCGGGCTCGCGGCGGGCGAAAGCGACGAGGATAGGGGAAGTGCAGTGATCCCTGCGTGCACGCGCAACAACGTGCAATGGGTGCGTGGCGGGATACTCACGTTGGCAAAGACAGAAGGGGTGGGGGATGATAGTAATGGTCACCCCCCAACAACAACAGGAGGAAGAAGGGGGGGGCAAGGGGGAGGGAAGGCAGGAACACGAAGAAAAAGGCAGGAGGAGGAGGAGGAGGGGGAGGGGGAAAGCAACGCCAGACGAGATTTTGCCAGGGCGCGGCTTCGCACGATTGCCAAGAAACGCAACGCAGAGCCCCTCTTGGGGGCGGCCCTCCTGCTGCCGAGGACCCGGGGGAGGGCGGTGTCGAAGGCCAGGGGGCCAGCGACGGCGCAACGTGGAACCCGAAGGAACCTGCGCCCTCCCCCGGTGCAGGGTTCACCTGCGCCGGCACG